GGGTGCAGTACAGCACCGCTGAAACATACAACTTTCCTCTAGTTGTTTAATGCTTCCTCCCCCTCCTCCCTACTATCATGTTCCCAATTCTACCTTACAAGTCTGGCTAGACCAGAGCATGTACACTGGTACAGATAAGAGCTGGAAACAGGGAATCCAGGAGAGATAAACCCCTCCGGACCAATAATGAAAGTAGTGATACCAGGAGGGTCAGGGGAAGGTGGGAGAAGAAAGAGGGAACCGATCCCAATGATCTACATATAACCCCGTCCCTGGGGGTTGGACAATAGAAAAGTGGGTGAAGGGAGACATCGGACAGTGTAAGACATGAAAAAATAATTTATAATTTATCAAGGGTTTGTGAGGGAGGGTGGGGGAGGAAGGGGAAAAAATAAGCTGATACCAAGGGCTCAAGTAGAAAGAAAATGTTTTAAAAATGATGGCAACAAACGTACCGATGTGCTTGAGACAGTGGATAGATGAATGGATGGATCGTGATAAGAGTTGTACGAGCCCCCAATAAAATGACTTTAAAAAAACCCAGCCCAACATGTAACCAGCAGTGCCACCAGGGCGGGCTCCTTAGGAATCACACCACCCTTCAGTGAGTGTCTCCTGGGGGGCTAATGGTGGTGCTAAGGACTTGACACCTCACTGAATATGGTAGCAATCTTGGAAAGTGAGATGGGGGTGTTACTCACCTCTGCCACTGAGGAGTGCCGCACAGGGGAAGTGATGGCGCGATGTCACACAGTGAGGCAGCCGCAAAGTCACGGCTTGCACCCAGGTCTGATTCCAAGGTGCTCTGTTGCTTTCAAGCCCCCACCCCTCTACCCCCAACTCCTGCAAAAAAAGAAGGTGCTGATAAAGATGTGGAGACAGACAGGTGGACCCAGCCTGCTGGTCTCTCTGTAGGGAAAGCACTTTGGCCGTGGGTGACAAATGCCTTCAAAGCATGGGTGCTGGTTGTCCACAAAATCACACTTTCGGGAAGTTACCTACAACCATTATCGAGGCGTTTAAAACCCGGGAGAAAGAAGGTTCCACAATCAAGAGCCATGGGCTGCAGGTGGGCGGGGCGTTTTTTCTGTTCAGACTGACACATTAAACAAAGGAGGAACAGTGGCATGGGTGGAGGCTGGGGGTGGGGTGGGGGTGGGAGGGGATCTTTAGGGAGGGTGAGAGAGCCCTGCTGTCAGGCTGAAACGTTGGCTCTGAGGCAGAGGACTGGCCAGGTGGACATGGGGACCCTAGCTCCCAGCTCTGCGTTGTCTTTTCTCTCCTCAGGATCCCGCGCGCTCCGCCAGCTTCCACCCCAATGGCTCTGTCCTCGCCGTGGGCACAGTAACTGGCAGGTAAAGCCGAGGAGGATTCCTTAGGAGGGCCTCTTCACTCTCTGGGGACTGTCGCTGAATCGGGGACCAACTGCGGACCGGGCCCCAGTCTGCCCGCAAGGTCCCTGCATGACGCAAATGGTTGGCAATTGAGAGGTTGGCAGTTCGGACCCACCCAGGGTGCTTGGGACAAAAGGCCTGGCGGTCTGCTTCCATCAAGATTTCTGGGACCTGTGGAGACTCTGTGGGGCTCTGTGCAATAACTACTGTGCCACAGGACTCCCCCAGCCACTCCGTAGAGAGAGGGAGCTTTCTACTCCTGCAGGGGAGCAGCAACCCCCAGGGGCAGTTGTCCGCTGCCCTAGAGGGGTGCTCGTGTGTCCACTTGGACTCCGCGGCAGTGAGCTTGGTTAGGTTTGGGGCCAGGTCAGCTCACCCCTCCCACCCCCTCTCTCCGAAGGTGGCTGCTGCTGGACCCAGAGACTCACGACCTGGTGGCGATCCACACTGATGGCAACGAGCAGATCTCGGTGGTCAGCTTCTCCCCGAGTAAGCGGTGGGCCGTGGGCTTCGGGAGAGGCAGGGACGGGGAAGGACGTCTAGCTTTACGGGTAAAGGGAGTGGACCCTGGGTGACACGGCCTGGGGGACAGTGTGTAGGGCAGCTGCGGGTGGTGCAGTTTGGAATTGCCCCGCGTCTGGGATTGTCAGGGGCTGAAGGTGAGCGAGGAGGGGGCGGAGCCTGGGTGCCTCCTCATAGCCCCCCTCCCCTCCCCTAGACGGGGCGTACCTGGCCGTAGGCTCCCACGACAACTTGGTGTACGTGTACACAGTGGACCAGGGTGGCCGCAAGGTCAGCCGCCTGGGCAAGTGCTCGGTGAGTGGGCAGTGGCCCCCAGCCCGCGCCGCCACCCTCCTGGGCTATGCAGAATTAACCACTTTTCTATCTACCTCAAGGGACCCTTGCTTCAGCGCTCCACTGACCGCCCTGATCCACCAAGGAGCCCTGGCCCCGCCCACACACGTGCCCCGCCCCCTGCTCCTGTGTCCTGAGCCCCGCCCCGTCGTGTAGCTCCGCCCCCAGCCCCCTTCTCCATGTAGCCCCGCCCCTGGCATCCGAAGCACACCCCTCTGTCTGGCCCCGCCCTTGGCTTTCCAAGTCTGCCCTTCTGTTTCTGGCACCGCCCACGTGTCCTAAACCCTCTGATTTGTGGTCTAAGCTAGTTTGTCTGGCCCCGCCCACGACAGCCTGGCCACGCCCCCAGACTCCAAAGGCCTGTGTCTATATCCCTTGTGTTTCCCCCACACCTCTGTGATTTGTGTTCCACCCTTTCTGGTCTACTCCCGCTGCCCTCCCCTCTTACTTCTGCCCTCTCCAGCTCTAACTCTGCCTCTTCCCTCCCCCCGCAGGGCCATTCCAGTTTTATCACCCACCTGGACTGGGCCCGGGACAGCAGCTGTTTTGTTACCAATTCTGGGGACTACGAGATTCTGTACTGTGAGTGCTGGGCTTGACTTACCTATGTAAGGTGTCCAGACGTCCTGCTTTTGGCGTGGGATTTTTAACAATTTTCCCCGCGTCCCGCAGTGTTTTTAAAAAGTCCCAATTTTTGGAAAGAATGCACGACAAGCTAGGGTATACGGTTTTTGGCTGCCATGTGGCTATTTCACCAGGATATGAGTTTTATCAATGGTGTCCTGCTTTACCAATGTTAAAAGCTGGTCACCTTAACCTATAGCCTTTACTCAGACTCTTCATTTGCATAACCCTGAATTCCGAGAAGGGGGGTGGGGCGTCTTTTGGTATTCAGGGGCTGTTCCGATTGGCTGGGAGCACCCCACCCCCAGACTCCAATTGCAGGCTCAAATGGTGCAGGCCTGACTGCTGACCTAGCACCTCCAAAAAAATCCACCAAGTCAACTGGTTTGGGTTTCTGGTTTTGCTTCCTGATTGGCTGGAGCTTTGGCTGCTCTCTTCCCATTGGATCCCACTTCAGTCCCTCCCCTTTCCGGTTTCTGTTTCTAAGCAGCCATCGCTGCTTCGGTTTTGGGGTGTCAAGGGCCAATCAGGACCTGTGAGTGAGCTCTGGGGCCTTCAGCTTGGCGGGTTCCACCTGTGGTTCTTCCAGCTCTAAGCTCCTCCCCTGCTCTCTGTGCCAGGGGACCCTGCGACCTGTAAGCAGATCACCAGTGCAGACGCTGTGCGGAATGTAGAATGGGCCACGGTCACTTGTGTCTTGGGGTTTGAGGTGTTCGGTAAGTACTGGAAAGAGAGAATATGTGCGGAGCACAGGCGCCCCAGCAAATGTCCCTGTCTAGTGGATTTCTGAGACTCGTGGAACTCACTCCTTTGTGCCAGCATGTGGGCAGAATTTGTAAAAGGCAGGGGTCCCGTGAGGTGACGTGCCCCATTCACTCAGGTCGCGACTGATACCTGCCATCCTGGGGCACACAGCCCAGGGAGGGAGACGCACTTGCCCTCTGATCGTGACTTCCGATTGGACTGGCTGCTATAGAGGAGTCCAGGAGCTGGGAGGGAGCTCAGGAGGGCTTCCTGGAGGAGGCGGCCACCCAGGCTGGGGTGTGGAGGGTCAGGAGGTGCTCGGCAGCATGGTGTGGCCAGAGGGAAGGACTGAATAGTACGTATCCAAGCCCCAGGGTGGCAGAGATCTTGGCAGCTGAGGAAATGCAGGACGTCGGGGTGGCTAAATGCCTGCCAAGTTCCAGGGGAGTGGGGGGGGTGGGCATGAGTCAGTCCGGGCCTTGGGGTCAGGTCCTGCAGCATCTTTCTCAGATGCCTGGGCTGTCCCTTGAGACTACTAGGGGAGGGGTGGGCAATGGGGGCCAGATATTCAAAAGAGCATCCCCACCCTCTCCCCGGTAGGGGCCAGACTGGGTGGGAGGGAGGCAGGAGCCCCAGTGGGCATCTCACCACGTCCACACACATACCCCCTTCCTGTCCACAGGGATCTGGTCCGAGGGGGCAGATGGGACCGACATCAATGCTGTGGCCCGGTCCCACGACGGGACACTGCTGGTGTCGGCAGACGACTTTGGCAAGGTCCACCTATTTAACTACCCCTGCTGTCAGCCTCGGGTGAGTGCCCCTGAGGGGGTGGGATCCAGATTCACAAAGGAGCTCGAGGGGCAGGGGGGTGGGGGGGCCAAGACCCGGGCAGCCCTGAGTTTTCCCGTGTCCCCAGCTGTTCAAGGAGCAGTGGGCGCCCACCATCCCGGAGCCGGAAGCTCAAGGTTGATGTCAAAGACTAGATTCGTGGGAACTTACTGCGGGAGTCCCAGTGGTGGAGTGGGTCCCCATGGGACTGCTAACTGCAAGCTCAGCAGTGGGGATCCCCCAGCCACTCCACAGGAGCAAGATAAGGCTCTCGACTCCCACAGAGAGTGGCAGTCTCTGAAACCCACAGGGACAGGTCTGCCCTGTGCCCGATACGGTTGCTACGAATCATACTCAACTCGATGGCAGTGAATGGGTGCTAGCCCTCGCAGGGTCTACGGTTCTAAGGTCTTGAAGGTTCTTTCTCTGTTCTTTTCCATCCTGTTCACTCAACAGCTATGTAGGGGCACCTGGGATGCACCATTAGGCAGTCACCATTCACACGGGAGCCGACCCTCTGATTTGAAGCCCCCCCACCCCTCATGATTCACCTAGGATCAGGGTTACAAATGCCAAGGACCACAGGGTCAGGCACGTAGCGTGAAGGAGCCACTGCGTCTGCAGCCGAGGCCACAGAGGAATAAGAGAGACAGCTGCCCCTGCTCCCCACCTGTTTGGGGCCTGTGCGGAGCCAGGTTCAGCTCTCTCTCTCGAGAGCAGCCGGGAGTCAGGCGGTTTTCACATGATCCCACTGGGTTTTTCAGTGTCAGCAGCAGTTTGCGTTCTAAAAATACCTCAGACAGCCTGCAGCTTGTCCCAAGAGAACCCGGGTCGGTCCGAGAGATTCGTCCTACCGTCCTCTGGTCCGAACGGAAGAGCAGTCGATGGGTTTTCATGTTCTGGTCTGCAGAAAGAATCGTGTTGTATTCTTTACCCAGGATGCAACTCTTTCCAGGCTGGGCATATGTCCGTTCTCTGTCTTTACTCTGCAGGGTTTTTGTTCGCAAACCAGCCCCACAGACCCCCTTTTTTTGGTATATGTCTGGGACGAGGAGCCCTGGTGGGCCTAGTGGTTATCCGTTGGGCTGCTAACCTCAAGGACGGCAGTTCGAAGCCATCAGCCCCACCGAGGGAGAAAGATGAGACTTTCTACTCCTGTGAAGAGTTCCAGTCTCAGAATCCCACAGGGGCAGTGCTGCCAGGTCACTATGTGTCAGCCTGGACTGGAGGGCACGGAGTTAGGTTTGGGTAGGTCCACCCCTGGAAGGAATCATGTGTGATAGTGCTGTGGCTTACACAGGGGGCTTCGAACCGCCAGGTCAGCAGTCTGAACCCATCATGCCCGTCTGGGGCTAAAGAGAGGCTGTCTGCTCCCGTAAAGATTGGGGCAATGCTGCTGTGCCTATAACGTCACTGTGACTCGGAATTGACTAGATGACAGTTTTGAGTTTAGTTTCCCATCTCTGGTAGCTACAGATCGTCTGGTGTGGCCTGCTAGGGTTCCACATTGGGCTGCTAATCGCAAGGGCCGAGGTTCAAATCCACAAGCCGCTTTGTAGGGAAAGACAGGTCTGCCACTCCCCAAAAGATGTACAGCCTTGGACCCCCACGGGGGTCGTTCTCCTCTGTCTATCGGGTGGCTGGGAGTCAAAAGCGGCCTCAAAGGCGATGAGTTTGCGTTTCTTTGTTGGCCTCCCGCGATCTCTCCAACATTCAGCCACCTCGGGCCGAGTCTTGACTCGGTTCCTCTGTGTGACGGACAACGGCCAGACTTGGTTCGTCAGTTCACCCGCCAGTGTGGGTGTTCTGGGGCAAGGGCTGCAGTTCCCTTTGGCATGCTGGCTTTCTGTTCTCCAGCCCCAGCACGCAGCAGTCCGAGCTAAAGGAATGAGGATCAGTAGGCTATAACCCCCAACAACCAGCTCTGCCCCGGAAGAAGTACAGCCAGCAGGCTCCTTAGAAGAGAGGGCGGCGAGACTTTGTCTCACGTACTCTGGACACGTTGTCAGGAGAGCCCAGTCCCCGGGAAGGGCATTCACGCTTGCTAAAGCAGCGGACACGGACAGAGAGGAAGGCACTCGATGCTCCCAGGGATGGACACAGTGGCTGCAATGATGAGGTCCAACAAGAACAGGCGTGACGCTGACTCAGGCGGGCTGTGTTGCATTCTCATGCCCACTAGGTCGCTATGAGTTGGGACCAACTCGTTAAGGATACCTAATGACGAGGACCATCGCCCTTAACGACGACTGCTCCTTCCTTCATGTCGATCCTCCTTCGGATCTGTCTGATTGCTGTCGACAGGGCCTTCCACAATGAGTCGGGTCTCAGACTCTGTGTGAAGTAAACAAAAACAGATTAGTGCCCACCCTACCCCTGTTGGTTGGCACTCACGCTCCCTCACCCACTGCCGTCAAGTCATTGCTGACGCATGTATAACTGTGTGGCACAACAGAGAACCGACCCTTGGGTTTCCAAGGCTGTACGTCTTCACAGGAGCAGGCAGCCTCACCTTCCTCCCGCGGAGCAGCTGGTGGTTTTGAACTGCTGACCTTGTGATTAGCAGCCCATTGCGTGTCCCACTGCATCACCAGGGCGCCCGTGGTTTGGTACAGGAAGGTTTCCTGGGTCAGGTCAGGAGGACCATGGGGTGGGTGGTGGTGGTAGAGGGGGTGGTGTCCCGGGATAAACCAGATGGGTAATGCACCAGGATGCCAATCGGAGGTTTGGCACTGCGGAACAAAGGCTTGGCAACCTCCTTCTGCAAAGCCAGTCCTTGAACATGCTGTGCGCTGGCCGGCGTGAGCCCGAATCTGAATCTAGCATGTCTCACTATGGCAACGTTGGTTGACCCTCTCGTTTCTTCCTCTTTCTCTGACAGGCCCTCGGCCACAAGTACGGGGGACACAGCAGCCACGTGACGAACGTGGCCTTCTCGTGGGATGACAGTGTGGCCCTGACCACGGGGGGCAAGGACACCAGCATTTTGCGGTGGCGGGTGGTCTGAGGCCAAGGGGCCAGGAGAGCGTGAAGGGGGCGGGATGGGAGGTCTATTTTCGGGAGACGTCTATTGCCGAGTAGAGTAATATATATACCCAGAGTGTCTATAGCTGAGAGGGCCGGGGGTGGGGTGGGTAGACAGACAGAAGTCGCTATTTATCTCGGAAGGGGAAGAGGGGCCACATTGCTTCAGGACAGTCATGGGGAGGGAGGGCTTGGATTGGGTTTTTTTTTAAGTTTATTCTTTTATATTCATCCACAAGTAAAGACACCCACACTGAGATAGCGTTTCTGGGCCTGAGTTTATTTGGTGCATGTGCATAGATGTGTGTGTGTGTGTGTGTGTGTGTGTGTGTGTGTGTGTGTGACCATAATGTTGATTTCCAACTACAGACCTTTCGGTTAATAACTGGGCACT